GTAAAGGCCAAGGGATGCAACAAACCCATGATCAAGAGCTATCTAGGCCCAAATGTCAATAGGGTGAAGTTGAGGAACCCATCAGATCTTTCATATTTATTTAAAACTAGAGTTGGATTTCCTTCAATAATGAAAAGGATGCATAGACTGCTAAGTACTGAACTTCTTATTTTCCAAAAACATATTCAAGCAAAATGAAGTGCCTTCCCCAGGTGTAACTAACTTTGGCAGCAAAGGACTGTGCATTGCAGAAGAAGCACTTCCACTTGAGGGAAACTGCTATCTCTTGTGGCTTTTGTTGTGAATCCGTGATTTATCTTCCCCCTGTACTTTTTGTTTTCTTCCTGTCATCATCTATTGCATTGATAAAAAGTAATGAAACAAGAAATTATTTTTCTGTACATATTGACTAACCTTCTTTCCTTTCTAAATCCAACTTGCTTGAGGAGTAATGCAAAATTATTTATAGTTTCTTCATGTCATTAAGATTTCTCTAGAAACATACTATTAGTGTCTTCTATGCACCTATTTCTGTTTGTATCTTTAATTCTGTTTCAGTTTTTTACATGGTTGATCAACTCCTCACAAAGCTTTTTCTCTTTAGTTCTCTGGCTGCTCTCAGTGTCTTGAAGGACCTTCTCTTTCGACTCTGCTATCTTGCATGAATTCCTCAGGAATTTGTTCTTAATTCGCTTTCTGTTTTGTACTGCTCTTTCTGAGAGATCTATGGAAGCAAATGCTAGATGATTTGTTTATCATGACTCCATATAGATCCTGTAGCTTTAACTTTGCTCCAGAGTTCAAGATCTATATGTCCACCTTTCTCTTAGGTGAATCAGTTGTCTAAATTTGGAGCATCCAAAATTGGATTTCTGTCTCCAAGCCCATAACGTTTGTCTTCCTAAATACTTTGTATCTTTGTGATTAGAGTCACCATCCAACTAGTTACTCAAGCTCCAGGTTCATCTCAGACCCCTTTATCTTCATTTCCAGCCTTACCCTACCAAGTCTGTCATATTTTACGTTGTGAATATTAGTCATATTATCTTCTTTTCCATACCCAGTACTACCATGTTGATTTATTTGTGTCTGAATCACGCATACTTACATTAAAGTAATCTTTTTCAGGATGGAAAAAATAATGCTGTTGCTTTTCACTTTGAACTTGTCCATAGCCTCATTTTAGCTGCCTAGTGGGATCCAACTTCATCATCACGACCCACAGGCTTTTTGTGATGTGCTTGCTCTCTTTGCTCATCTGCCACCACAGTCCCCACCCACAGCCTCCAAGCAAGAGGGGCAAGTTATTTCTTACCATATATTCCCTCCCTGCAAATTGGTTATTTTGCTTGCAAGTTATTTCTTCTGTATAATTTCCTTGTTAATAACATCTACATCTTCTTAAAAAAACAGTTACATTTTTATGACTGTAGTAAATACACATAGGTTTTAGAGATCAAATGGTACTATAAGGTATTTAACACAAAAGCAGATTTTTTGCATCATACCTTCTTGCCTCTTCACCTCCCTAGAGGCAATCACTTTTGACTTTTTAGATGTTTCTCCTGATATCCATGTCTGTATTACTACTTTGCTTTGATGCAACTTTTTAAAATGTTAAGTTCAGATCTTACCTTTTGAGTGCCTCTTCTCTCACCACTCCTACATAATACTATAGGAGCTGGTGCAGTGTAGACACACTTATCCCTACCAGTTATGCTACCTCGTACCTGTGGGTTAATCACTATTGGTCTTGATTTTATGACAATACTTGTCAAATAACAAATACTGATATTGTTATAACCACTCTCACACTAGCCACTACTGAAACAAATAATGCAGTGTTATTATTACTTTGCTTAAATAATTTTTGTTTCCTGGGATAAGGAATGCTTAAAAACATCATTTATTTTACATTAAACCTGATCATAAATCTAAGTTTCTCTATTTTTGCATTAAACTGGAAAGTCTTGTGTGTCTGTCTCACCAGAATGTGGACTCTGATAACTTCTGTCATCTGAATTTGCTTTGTTTTACACCAGTGCCAAACATGTAATGCCTAATAAATACCTGTTGAATTCTGGGTAAGATAGGAATGGCCTTTCTCTTTATAGCAGCCTTTAGTATTTGGCAAATTGCTTTGTGAGGATTGCTGATTTCTGAATCCTTCCTTATAGATTACAAACTCAGTGCCTTTTGGGGTTCAGGCAATTAAAACGAGTGAGCACAGCAAACCACATGGGGATGATGGTGCTTGAGGGAACCCTGGCTTCCTTCTTCCAGCCAATTGTTTGGAGGCAAACCCCTCAAACCCTATGTTCTCAGAACATGCTCTGTTTTAATTTGATTAAAAAAAAAACTTTGGAGATCAAGGAAATGGTTCTTCAGGGCAGATTTGGTTTACAGCCACTGGATTACAACATGAAATCCACTTATTTGTTGATAGATTCCTTTATTCCTTCTCGGGTCCTGTGGTAGGTCGCACAGATGGGCGAGACACCGCTTCATAAGCCCTAAGTGACTTATGTATTTGGGAGAAGAGATACAGGTAATCTAAAAATTTGGTAATCTAAAGACCACAGTGTGATTAACAAAATAAACATGTAGTTACTCCTTCCCCCCCCCCCCCATTGCAGTAAAATACACTTGGGGAAAAGTTAAGAGGTACAGATAAACAGAATTAAGGGGAAAGTCCCATTTTATCCAGCTTGGGCAACTGTCTGTTTACCAACCCTGTGTTGGAAGTGTTGATAGGGAGGATGCTTATGCTTATTATATCCACATCAGACACAAACCCATTCACATAGCATATTTCTATTTCACAGACTGCTTTCTTTTCTAGGAGTTTACTGGGATATTCTATTAATGGTTTAACATAATTTAATGGCAGAATAACAATTTATTGCCTACATAGTTCAATATTTGTGGTATTACTAAATGTTTAAGTAAGTTTTTGTATTTTTTTTTGGTAACTCAAATTGGATAGAGTATTCCTGTAGCCAAATCTATTTATCCTGACTCAACTGCTCAGGATAAGTAACTAACAATGTAATTACTGGATTCGAGGATTTTTACATATTCTGTGTGTTGTTTATTTTTTCTTTAATGCTCTATACAGTGTTAAATTATCTTCGACCAAAGCAGAATTGATTTATAGTTTTCATTTCTCTTTACTGCTCCCCAAACTGGCTACCATCACTTTCTTTAACATATATAATATGAATATATTCATTTATTCAGAATATAATATATTCACAGTATTCAAATATATTCATAATATGCTTATAGATGAAAAACAATCTTTTTGAAGAGTTCTCTTTTTTTAAACACTTTTATGACCTGTAAACTCACTAGCTACTGTTTATTGGAACTTAGCTGTCACTGTTGGTGACTGTTGGTTGGCTAATGAATATGATTTAGTAACTTTGGAGCACACTTGACAAACATATTCTGTTCAGTTGTATGTTCCTGGATGCCATGAAGTGATGCAAAATTTAGAAACTATTGGCCTGATTTTCAAATTCCAGTACCACCCGTGGGCAGACTGTTTTATTGTTGCAGTTGTATTATGACTACTTTTACTGAGCATTGATTATATACCAGCATTATTCTGAATACCCTGCATATGAACATATGTAACACTGGCAAAAGCAGGTCTTGAAGTCAGGCCCAAGTAGTACCCAAGCTATCTTTCTTTCTTTCTTCCCCTCTTCTCCTTCTTTTCTCCTGTCCTATATTTTTACTCTTAAAAAAATTAGTGTTCATTTTTATTTGAAAGGCAGGCTTTTACAGAAAGAGAAGGAGAGATAGAGATAAAAGGTGCTCCATCTGCTAGTTCACTACCCAAATGATGAGAATGGCAAGAATGAGTTGATCTGAAGCCAGGAGCCAAGAATTAGGACCCTCCTCTGGGATTCCATTTGGGTGCCGGAGGCCAAAACCTCAGGCCATCCTGTACTGCTTTTCTAGACCATAAGCAAAGAGTTGGATTAGAAATGAATAAAAATGGAACAGCTGGGACACAAAGCAGCACCTAGACGGATGTCAGTGTCACAGGGTGGAGGATTAGCTTGCTGCGTCACTGCATCAGCCCCACATCTTTTTAGTCTAGAAATAAAACACATGCCATCCTTAGCTAACAGCATCACGAACAGGAGGTTGCCTGTGATTCAGCTTCATGGCTAGAAACAGATGGTCCATCTTGTTTCATCTCTGTTTTTCCCTCATCACTTTGTATCCCATTTCTGCTTTGGGTGATTTTAAATCAAACCTCAGATATATTATTTCATTAGTAGATATTTCAACATATATCTTTTTAAGAGATATGGATTCTCATTTTTAACCTAACTCACAATATACTTATTGTACACTAAAATATCTGTGGCAATCCAATGTCCATTCAGGATCAGAATTTGATTTTTCATAAGTGAGCTTTTTGTTTTTGATTTGCTTGACTCAGGAGCCACAGAAAACTACCATCTGGAACCATTCTAACCATAACGTTGAATTTACCTCTCTGTGTAAGTCATGGGAATTGTCTCAGATACAGAGACAGAAATACTGACCCAGAGGAACCAAATTATTGGAAGAAGCCCAGGGATCAACATCTAGTTCCCATTTCCTAAGAAGATGCTCTTACTAGTTAATGTCAGTGGAATACAGGTGTTGTGGAACAATCCATTCTCTCTGGAAATCCATTAAGGCACTCATTCCATGGCTGGACACTCAGCTTCTTTGCTTCCATGATATAGTTTCATTGAATGGTTCAGCCAAGTCTCCTCTCTTGAGCTATGTAAATGGTGCTGGTGTGAATATTCTGTCTTTAAGAGTGAGCTCCAAACATGAATGAGACCTGCTAGCCTCAGGCTGGGAGAGAAGGACTTGGAAAGAGAAGCTGTGGGCTTAATCATGACTTTGACAATAATCATGACTCTAAAAGCAGATTTCACAGTGAGAAATTTTGCAAATTTTCACGTTGATTTTGTCTTCTGAACCTGCAGGACTAGTGATCTTCCACTGTGTTGTGGCTAATGGGAATTCAACAAGGAGTGCAGAAACAAATGGCCTTCCCTGTGGATATGCTGGAGAAAACTGCACAGGTAATGCTTAAGCTTCATATTCAGTCTTGGAAAAGTGATCTTCCTCAGTGTTCATATTCTGATACAGTTGTAATCACATGGTGAAAGCTAGAAAGGTTTTTGAGCACATGGTAATGAAGCAAGCACTGTGGGAAGGAAAAGAATACAAAGGTTAAATAATCTGTCAAAGGTCAGAACAGCTGGTAAATACCAAATCTGGAAATCAAACCTAGATCTGCCTGAATCTACTTGTAATTGCTGCATTCTTTAACGGTGTCACTCTCTTACGCTCCCAACTGTAGAAAGTGTAATTTTGGACTGCATCATAGAACGTCATTGAATTCTACTCAACTTTAAACCATGCTATTCCTCCTTATACCTTAAAGAAGGAAGGAATGCATGCATGTTTTGAAAATACCATTTACTTTGGTTATTCTTAAATTAGTGCTCCTAGAGTTACTGACCTAAGGCTGTGTTTGCCCTTAACCATGGGATGTATAATGAATTTTAGGCTTTGTGGGATACACAGTCACACATATTATGAAAATTAATAGGCTTGGCTGTGTTCCAACAAAACTTTATTTAAAGATAGAGTCTGTGGGCCAGATTTGGCCCTTGGTCATGGTTTGCTGCCCTCCGGTCTAAGGATCTGCTTGTTTTTGAAGATGTGTTATGACCTACCACAGGAGAGGATTCTGATTTGAAACAAAAAGGAAGCTAAAACACAAGCAAATTTTAAAAAGTAGATGGGGTGAGGCAGAGCCTCGTGTAGTCCCTGGAAACTTTTCTGAGCTGGGGTTATGGTGACATGGTGTGAAGGGCCTCTTTCCTAGTGTGCTGGGGAAATTGTAGCTGAGCCAGGACCAAGCTGAGCCACTTTTCCTGATGTGAGTCATCCTCCTGCAGCGGTGGGTGTGCCAAAGGGTGCACTTGGGTGGCATGGTCCCATGATGCCGTAGGCCGTGCTTGTGTGGGCCTGGTTATCACGCAGGGAGAACAGAGCCAACTGTATACGTGTGCCTCTTTTTCAGTCTGGTTACAAAGGTCTTAAAGGGTGACCAGCTCACATTTCCCTTGGGAACTTTTTCTACAATCTGATGATTAAAAGTACGCAAAACTTTAACTTTATCTTTAACATGTTCTGCAATTTTGTTTTTGATGCATCAAGAGTGCTTAGCACATTGATATCCCTATATAAAATTGTTTCATGGGAAATAATAATAATAATAAATATTAAAAAGACAAAAGATGTTTCTTTCTTCTTCCAGTGGAATACATGTCGCCCATGGAATGTGATTAGATACCATATTAGGATTTTGGAAGCAGGAGTAAGGAGACTTTCACAGATAAAGATTTTTTTCACTATGTCATATATTCAGTTACTGGCACCAATCCATCCCTAGTTGTGGGCATTTGGGAATTAACTGGAGAATGGCAGATTTCTCTCAGTCTCTGTTTCACTGCTTTTAAAAGAAAATAAATACACAGAACAAACCTTCAAAAAGAAAAAAGAGAAGACTTGAAAGTGGACAGCATTTCTATAATTGTTAACTACAGGTATAAGACGCAGAAGGTCTCTTTGTAGTCATTGTGCTTAACTAAAACTTTGCATCCTTTGGGCAGCAACCTGTTGTTTCGCCTTTTACCAAGACCTGCAAGTCATTTATTTTTTGTTTTTACTTTTATTTTGTTCTTGGGTCAAATTTGCTAAATAGTTTACTGATGGTTTTGCATCTTTTTTGTTAGTAATGTTGGTGTTTATTTCTTTATCAGTTTTCATGTCCCATTTTTTATGTTTGAGTTTTTCCTTTTTTCCTAGTAAGTCTAGCTAATGGTTTATAATTTTGTTTGCCTTTTCCAAAACTCAGCTTACTAATTCTATTGATGCTTTCAGTTAATTTTCTAGTCTCTCATTTAGTTTTATAAAATCTCTATACTTTGATTTCTTCCTTGAATTTTTTAAAAGATGTGTTTATTTAACTTGAAAGTCAGAGTTACTGAGAAAGAGAGAGAGAGAGAGAGAGAAAGAGAGCTCTGTCCTCTGGTCCATTCCCCAGATGGCTGCAACTGCCAGAGTCAAAGTGATCTGAAGACAGAAGCTCCTCCTGGGTCTCCCGGGTGGTACAGGGCCCAAGGACATGGCCTGTCCTCCTGGATCTCCCAGGTGGTACAGGGCCAAGGACTTGATTCATCCTCCTCTGCCCTCCCAAGTCATAAGCAGCAAGGAGGATCGACATTTTTGCGGTCATCGTTTCTTTGAATGATCTGCCTACCCCTTTATGTTACCGTTTCCCTTCTTGGACTTCTATGAAATGTGCAGTGGTGTCCTAAATGGTGTACCCTAAGTCTTTTGAGCTTCTTCATTCCCTTTTATTCTTTTTTCTTTTGTTCTCTGATTGTATAATTTTAATTTCACGTCTTCATTACCCTTATTTTTTCACTGGTAACCCCATTAGTAAATTTTTCAATTTGGTTATTGCATTATTCAGCTTCAGTATGTATGTTTTCTTAAAAAAATGCTTCCTATCTTGTTGCTGAAGTTCTTACGTTGTTCATGTATCCTTCTCCTGATTTTGCTGAGCATATTTATGATCAATTAGTTTTGATTCTCTCCAAACATCTGTTTTCAGACATGATCTGCAGACAATGATCAAATACTTTGTTTTGTGCTTTGTTTTTGGCCTTGGATTGTAGTTTTTGTAAAAAGCCTAATTTATTAATTCTTGCTACTTTTCCCCACTATCATTTTGGTTTCTGTTCCTTTTAGCTCTCACTTAAAAGGCTTGGTAGGTATTTATAGGTATTGTCGATATTTTAATGAAAGTACTTGCACAGCTTAACCACCCATTCCTCTCTCTCTCTCTCTCCGACTTTCAAATAAAAAAAAATGTTGTTGTTGATGTTGTCAGTTTGACATATCATTTAATGGATTTGTTATGATCAGTGTCAGAATGAAAAGCTAAGATTTTTTATGTAAAATAGTTGTAACATATCCATTCTGATGAGTTATAGTCATAAAGTCATGATCAAAAAGTCTCTTGCTAGCGTTTAAACCACATACAGAAGACTAAGAAAGCACACTGCATTCGGTCCAAGCGTTCATCACATTGAGGAAAATCCCACAGTGACACTAAGTTATGAAATCACTGACTATACTTTTCCACTTTGGCTTAGCCTGACAGAATCTATTCCATTTCACCTGAGCAGCCACATAGCTCAACCAAGATGATCCTTTCTTATGTAGTTGCCAGTGTGCTCTAAGAAAGACATCCTTACTTCTAAACCAGACGCTTAGAAACATATTTTTATATCAATTAATCAGTAGTAACTCTGGATTTCTTGATTTTTTTTTAACTCATTGACTTTTAGAATCTTTGGAATACCGTAAGCCATCATATGACTAAGCTTTTTGTTGTTGTTGTTGTTGAAATAGTAAAGACAGATTATTTATAAAGAGAAAAAGCTTAATTTAGCTCACAGTCTTGGAACTTTGAAGTTCAAATAGCGTGATGCAGGCTTTGGCTCTGCCGTGGGGCCTGTGATGAATGGTGGAGTACATGTGAACAAAGACTCCCAGGGAAAGGCAGGAAGCAGAGTGATTGGGCCCAAACTCCAACTTTTACCTAACTTTACTCCAACTCCACCTAAACTGCCTTTTGAGGACTTGTTCTCAATGAACTTAGAATCTCCCCTTAGGCTCCTCCACTAAAACTTCACCACCTTCGAGTTCCACTTTGGGGGCTAACCTTTCAAAAACATGAGACTCAGTAGGTAAGAAAACTGTAGCATCCATGAAGAAAAGGAACCATATTATCATCCAATTAGGAGGCTGTTGAAGGCCATCCTCTAGTGAATATAGTTTTCTATTTTCATTTTCAAGGGGATTCTCACTTTGGGAACACATATTAGAAAAGCATAAAGAGTAAAAAAAATCATCAAATGCCATTACTTTCAGAACCCTAGGAATTTGCTTCATTTTTGAGATTGTACCATTTAATCTTTAAGAGAGAAACATAACACTTGGGACAAAACATTCCTCTGGGGTAGTATTAACTTTTCCTTCTTGATAAACATCTCTGAAGTGGAGAGATAGAATCTTTCCCACACCTTTGTCATCGAGTCTTAAGGTAGGCTTAAAAAAAAAAAGCTAACTTTCAGATAACAGGAGCTTGATGACTACCAGATGAAAAGTGAAAAGAAACTGAAATTTTAGGTGCAGTTTAGAAGGGAAAATATTGATAAGCTCTCTGTTTCTGAAGAAAAATGTACTCCTAGTTTTGTGGTTGTCTGTGTCATTCGTTTTACTTTAAGGTTGCAAAGTTTCATAGAGAAATCACTAGGCATTTTCTGCCTGATGAAGTGGAAAGGTTTTTAAATCCAAATAATCCTGGGAATATTGAAGAGCACTCTTACTTGGAGAAGGAGTGCCTCCTATGAGCCACCACAGCAGGGCCTGGCAACCATTCCACTGGCACAGATGTGTGCTGCGTGGATGAAGCAAGACTGATCAGATCACTGGATCCAGCAGCTGCTGGTTAACTCACTTTCCAGTATCATAGGACACAGGATGTTTATTAAAAGTTTGGACACATTTAAGGGGATACAGTTCCTAGATGAAGTGGTGACATTTGGCAAATAGACAAATGGTGTGTAAATTTAAAACAGGTATGCTTTTCTCATAGATGACAGAATTGCTGTGAAATCTTGCTATATCTTGCTATATCTTGAGTCTCCTTGCTTTCCTTTCGCCTAGCCCTGGCTCATCTCACACTTGTCTGCATGGCTGAGGTAGGTCCAGGTTTTATCCAAGCATCTTCCTAGTGCAATCCAGATTTCAGTTTCCTTGTTATTTCATTCATTCAGTACTTAACAGTTTAAAGTCATTTTGGCATATGCTATAGGAATCATCTCTAGTCATTAGAATTATATTCAACTCTCCTTAGAGTTCAAGTGTAGATATTGCAATCTCTTTGAGTTTCTAGGATTTCTTCGTAGCCATCTTTAATAAAAAGATTCTAGAATTAGGCTATTTACTAAGGGCATTACTATTCGGCTGAATCTGGTGACAGGTATATTTTGAATATATAATGTGTGTTTTGTGTGTGTGCATACACACATATAAATGCATATGTATTTATATAACCCATATATACCTAACCCGTATGTATATATGTGTATATATGTGTTTTTCTATCTATCTATCTATTTATCTATCTATCTATCTAACTATCTATCTATCTATCTCATATGTATGAAATTTGAGAGAGAGATAGAGAGAAGAGTAGAGAGAGATTGAAACTGAGGCAGAGATAGACAGGAATCTTCTCTCTATAAATACCCATAGCAGGCAGCAGTGGACCAAGACAAATTTTTTCCCAATATGGGTGGCAGGAACTCAACCACTTGATTCATTACCTGCATTAACAGGTAGCTGAAACCAGGAAAGGAACTGGAACTTGAACCCAGGCGATCTGATATGAGATAAAAGCATTCCAGCTGCTAAACCAAACCCCCCATCTCTCACATAAACTTCTCCTTTTTTTTTTTCCTAGTTCTAATGGCCTTTTACAGTGGATGTTATCAACATCAGTTTTTAAGTTACTATGGCTGCTTTTAAGGTTTACTGCAGATTTTTATTTTACTTTGCTTTATTACAGAAATTCTGCTAAGTAGTATATCTTTTGTTTTCTCAATACTTTCTACTCAGTGGCTGTTACAGAGGCTGTGGAAATACAAAACACTCAAGTTGACTTGTCAATTTCTTTGTCAAAATACATAGGTCTTTGACCTTGACTCACTCAGTAGTTATTTCTGTAAGAAGTTTCAGTCTTTCTGATAGAAGTCTGATTGATTGGATTGGTATTGGAACAGCTCTCTGAAATGTCCCAGCAGTCAGCATGGATGGATACCAGGCCAATGACAGAAACCAGGTGAGACAGTTCCTCATCAACAAGCTGCCACCCTCTGGAAATCTATATAATTGACTCCTTGCATCCAAAGTTTCAACATATGTGAATTCAATCAAACACAGGTAACAAATGTTTGGAAAAACTGCATCTCACTAAACATGTATAGACTTACTGTTATTATTCTCTAACCTATATTGTACAGCATCATTACTATCTAACTCACATTGACATAGCATATACAATTGTATTAGCTAGTGTAAGTTGTCTAGAGACAACCATATGGAGGTGTATGAAGTTGTATGCTAATCCTATACCATTTTGTGCAAGAGAATTGGACATCTTAAGCTTTGCACCCAGTGCCTCATGAATACTGAATGACAATTCTCCTCTGACCTGGTCTCAGCTGAATTTACAGTCTGGAGAACATTCAAAGTCCTTTAAAATTCCTCTCTTTGGTGGTCCTGGAATAAGTATATCAATTTCATAGTCCTAACTAATTCAATGGTTCCTGCTATTAATGAGAAAAATCTTTAAGGCCATTGGATTGCCAGGTGCTATAGTGAAGCTCACGTGAGAAGCACTTTCCAAAGCCCGGAGTTATCCTTCTGTTTCTGCAAGTCTGAGTCCTGCAGGCTGTGGGCTAAGAATCCATGAATGAGGAACTCTGCTCCTGGTTATCCTTGTCTCCTCTGGGTATGGGCATGGCATCAGCTATGAATCACTAACTGAAACAACTACCAAGTCACTATGAATTCTCTATAGTCTTTATTCATTGAAAGTTTTACATGTGTATGCTAGAAAGATTGTTACATATTATTTACCTCCAGTTTAAAAAAAATCAGACAATCAAGACTTTTAAAGCAAGGAAATCTGGTATCAAAATTCAGGAATGAAGCTCCAGTATTTGTCTTCTCCTTTAGAACAAAGTCAGGCATCCTTGGGTCCAGTGAGAGACAAAACCTACCGTTAGGCAAGCATGCCATCTGAAAGCATCAGCCAATGAGCAGACAATAGACACCTGCAAGACTGAGGCTGCCAGAGCATCAGAGCATAGTAGGGGAGCATGGACAAGATGGTCTTGGTTTGAGATCCAGCTCTGCCCTTTTAGCTTTGTGATCTGGAAATGTGGCTTGACCTCTGTGTGTTGTGCTTTGCTGATTGTGTAGAACAATGCTCACCTTTCAAGGCTGTCAGAAGCAATGAGATAATAAATGAAAAGTGAACAGATCAGCGCCTTGCACTCAACAAATGCTCTGTGCTTAAGTTGAAAAATGACAACAAAAATGTCAATCAACCAACTTTCCCAAACCTCCTTTCACTGGCATGGCTCAGATAACATTGAAGGAATGAAAACTTTTTATTTATTATCTAGATATCACCCTATATGTATTTCTGAAAGGTAGGTTGGACACAAATCTTAGTTAAAATAATGAAACAGTTCCAACACAGTCCATATTAACCAGTTCTTAGAATTCCTTTGGAAGCTACCAACATTTAACTTTTATCCTCATGTGGTGAGAAGGACACATGAAATTTTATTCTATAAGGGGAAAAACTAGCTGAGAACTAAGAAAGTGATTTGATTTATGAAACAGTAAAATGCTTGACTTACAGAAATCTCTCTCATTTTGCAGCTACCACTGTGCAGCCTAAACGGAAAGGGCATTTTTCTCGCTGTCCCAAGCAATACAAGCATTACTGTATCAAAGGACGGTGTCGCTTCGTGGTGGCTGAGCAGACCCCCTCATGTGTGTAAGTGGAGTGTTCTGAACCAGCAGTTGAAGGAGTGCAGCACGGCATCTGCCCGAGGTTCCACAGGCCTGGAAAGTCTGAGCTAAGCAAGCCATCTGTCCTGGCACAGTTCCACCCACTCCTGCCCCCAGCAGCAATTTATGGAGAAACCGACACACACTTTCCTCCTGAAATATGAGTGTGTGAGAGTCCAGAGCTGCTTCCTCTGCTGCCTTGCGTAAGCAAAGATGATTCTGCCCAGGGCTTAGGATGCTTTTCAGTTCAACTAATCTCCAGGGTTGTTCAGATGGAAACGATCCTTCTGCTCTGATCCAGTCATGTACAAGTGAGAGAGATCCTGCCAGATGGAAAGCTACTTCTGCAGGTTCAATGCAAAGAAGTCAGTTCTTTTAAATAAGCAGAGATTAGTAAAGCTTATTTAGTGCAGTAGTGAATTGGGGTAAAAATATTAGTAGCTTATGGGTCCAAGTTTTTCACAGGCACACACAATTGCATTTTGTATCTTTCCAATGTTTTTTTTCTCTTTTATTTTTAAAATTATGTATTCCTCCAAAATTCTCCCAGGGACTTTATTTTTTTTCTCCATTGTGGAGTGAGGTGGTTCTTTACAATTTTGAACTAAAATTCAGAGAACATATACCATATTCTCTGTAAATGTCTCAGAACAGAGATTTTAAATCCTGGGATTGTGGACTTTAAGGGGTCATGGGTGCCTTAAAAATTTAACTGTAATTAAGTTTAATTTTAATGGGAAATGTGCATTGATAATAATTATTTGGAGATAAGAATTGTAACTATGGAAAAATATGATATGGTATGTGTGTGATGGACTTGGGAGCGTGTTTAGGTTTGAATTAATCCCTATGTCTGCAGATTTGTTGTTCTTTAATATTGGCAACCTTCTAAAATGAATGCCTTGGTGTGAGTCCGTCTTGCAGAGAGCAAACCAATGCTTATTGCCTTCAGTTTGTGCTTACAGCTCATTCCCTCAGCTTGCAGAGCTGCTCTGATCCTGGTTTAGCATTCTGGCTATATTGCCCACCATATCCCCAAGCGTTTCCCTGAATCCTACATTCCTCTCCATGGTCTATTGTCTTATTTGTTTATTTGAAAGTCAGAAATATTGAGGAGAGAGAGAGAAGGGGTGAAGGAGAGAAGAGAAAAAGAAGTCTATCCATTGATTTGCTCTTCAAATGGTACAACAGCCAGAGCTGGGCTGTTCCAAAGCCAGGAGCCAGTAGCCTCATCTGGATCTCCCATGTGGGTACTTAGGCTGTCTGTCCTCTACTGCCTTTTCAGGTACATTAGCATGGAGCTGGACTGGAAGTGGAGCTGTTCCATAATGTCCATTGTGGAGACACAAATGGACATTCCTATGGGATGGTATCATCAGAACACTGACCCCCCACGATTTATTATACAAAATCTACTCATTGCCTAGAGAGGTAACTCCTCCTGAAGTTTAATGTATAACTTAAATATCAGGCTCTCTGGACCCCTTCACTGAACCCTTCCTTTTAAGCTCATACCCAGGTCTGTTTAAGGAGAGCTGTATTCTAATGGAAAGTAGCTGTTGGCTCCCTTGCTATCCCCTCTGTGACTGTAGAGTCCTGTAGGAAGGGCTGTTGTTTATTCATTGCTGTGCATCACCTGTAACCTCAGTAACGGAATTCACTTAAGAGTGCAAGAAATGATGGATGAATGAATCAGTGCCTAAGCCATAGCACATCTTCTGCTTTGCTGAATTTCAAAACCAAGTCCGTGTTTGGAGCCAGGAACTGCCTTTTAGTGAGCAAATGATTCAGTGTCAATGGGAGGCGCATATATTGGGGTCAGACGTAAGATAAGATTTTGTTTTCACCGATGGTGACCAGTGTTAATAATGAGCCATTGCCTTTCCTGGGCCTAGATTCAGCATTTGTAAAAAAAGGCTGATAACACCTTCTCAAGTGTTGAAGACTTAGAGCCAAATAATAAATAAAGGATTGCTGATAGTCATATCCAGCACGGGGCAGCAGTTTCCTAATTGGACCCTGAGGTGTGTGATAGATAGTTAGAGAAACCAGAAATGTGTCGCTTGCTTGAGGTTGGTGGGGTTTGTGAACTCCTGTTTTTACATTAAAATCAAAATATGTCTCCAAAAATTAAAATGCCCTATTTATCTCAGTACTTTTGTTGGCATCGGGATGCTGCTTTTCTACACACATACAATTTGTTAATCTGTATCACACAATTCATTCACAGGCAATTTAGGATATGAAATAAAGGAGCCACTGTATTTTTTTAAGAGTTGTTTATTTTTATTGGAAAGTCAGACATACAGAGAGGAGAGACAGAGAGGAAGATCTTCTGTGCACTGATATACTCCACAAGTGGCCGCAACAGCTGGAGCTGAGCTGGTGTGAAGGCAGGCGCTTCTTCCAGGTCTCCCATGGGGGTGCAGGGTCTCAATGATCTGGGCTGTCCTTGACTGCTTTCCCAGGCCACAAGCAGGGAGCTGGATGGGAAGTGGAGTAGCTGGGGCATGAACTAGTGCCCATATGAAATCCTGGGCATTCAAGGTGAAGGCTTTAGTCACTATGCTATTGTGCTGGACCTAGGAGTTACTATGTTTGAGTCTTATCTCATTGATTTAACATTTTCATCTGCGATATGGGGCTGGTTCTATCACCTATTGTGAAGGTTGACAACCTCCTCAAGGTGATTGGTCTCTTGGTGATTGTTTAGGATTATTTCAGGACAGTAATTCGAAGAGTCATCACCAACTTTAAAATTATTTTTAATTTTCATTTTATTTTACAAATTGTTAAATAAAGATCCATTTATTCAACGTTGAAATGAATACTATGATCTTGCCTCCGATGCCTCCATCCCTCCCCCGTGGGAGACACATACTGGACATGATCATCATCTGGTACATAATGGATTCGCTGAAGAGTTCAGTTACATGAGAGCCACTCTAACTGGCTATGTTAGGGTTTGACCTTCTAGGTTGGCTTCATTGAGTTACATGTTACAGGAAGTACTGCTTGCCGAGAAATTCAATTAAACCATGGTCAAGTCACTGTATCCAGAGCTGGTAATTAGAAGAAAGAACAGCCAGTAATTGCTGTGCATTTTACAGCCAAAAATATTGTTTTAAAATCCAAGCTCTAGTAAAGTTGTTAGAGAAATATTTGTGCTAATTGGACGAGATAATACTTGTAAGATTCAATTACAGCTTCAAAAATATCTTTTAAAAAATTCTCCCCTCAGGGCCCGGCGCGGTGGCGCAAGTGGTTAAGTCCTTGCCTTGCACGCCCGGGATCCCATATGGGCGCCGGTTCTAATCCCGGCAGCCCCGCTTCCCTTCCAGCTCCCTGCCTGTGGCCTGGGTAAGCAGACGAGGACGGCCCAAAGCTTTGGGACCCTGCACCCGCGTGGGAGACCCGGAAGAGGCTCCTGGCTTCGGATCGGCATAGTATCGGCCCGTTGCGGCTCACTTGGGGAGTGAATCATCGGACGGAAGATCTTCCTCTCTGTCTCTCCTCTCTGTATATCCGCCTTTCCAATAAAAAATAATAAAAATAAATCTTTAAAAAAAAAATTCTCCCCTCACACACGTGCAGTGAAAGGTGATCTTTGTTGTCCTTGTTTCGGCCCTATGATTTTTCGTATTTCAAGATATTTCTAAACTTGCTTTCTTTTGTTTTGACCCTGGAGTGAGAATAACTAACCGTCTTGCAAGAAGCGATTTTCTCATTCCTGCTGGGATCTTTTTGGAATAGCTGCCATTACAGTCTTTTTTCTTTTTGCTTGTATTGTGTCTCACTTTCAAACTGATGGTTGTTACTGAGCTTGTTTTTGTTTGTTCTTAAAGTATCGTGTCAGCTACCATACTGGCATTAAGGGATCGCCTAACTTGAGAAATACAGGCTTTGTGGGAATTGACTACCCAGGCTCTTGATAAGCCTACGCTATAGAACATTCTGGTAATATATCCTTCCTTAAAGAAAAATGAGTTTGTACAGAAAACTTTCTGAAGAGCAGAATTTAATTTTTCTGATACTTAAATTATTATGCATATGACTAGCATCACTTTGTGTTTTATACGCATTCAGAAGGGAATAAGAGGAAATATGTCTTTTGTTTTAAAAACTCAATTTTAACCCCTGCTGAGTATTTTAAGCACTTATTTATGCTATTTGAAAAGACGTGAGAGAAGTGAGTAGGTGGAAGGAGTAACGGAGACAGAGATATTCTATCTGCTGGCTTGCTTTCCAGTTGCATGCAAAACCCAGGTCTGTCATGGCCAAAGGCAGATGCAGTCTGGGTCTCCCACAAGAGTGTCAGGGACAAAATACTGAGGACAGGGCCCGTTGTGTCTCGCCATACGTGTTGGCAGGAAGGTGAATGGAAGGTGGAACTGGGACTTGAATCAAGGTATCCCGCTATAGAAAGTTAGCTTCCTACTTGGTGTCTCACATTCTGTGCCAAACATCCAACCTGGGAAGCACTTGCTAGGGCAAGGATACTGCTGGATGAGCGAAACTGACACTTGATGATTTCAATAATGCTAAAGCCTTTGTGGAGACTTGTGAGGAACAGAGTTTTTTTTCCCCCCTGCTTGTTATTTGTTGAATTCTTTACCTAATAGAGTGTTAATTGTGAAGTGAAGTGGAAGTATCTCCTTATGAAAATTGCTTTAAAAAGAGAGAGAACTAAGAAAAGAGGTGAGAGGGAATGTAGGATAGCATACTATGCCCCTAAGTCTATATTGTGAAATACATGGAATCTGCTCACTTTGTCTTGATAACATTTCTTTAAAACGTGAGCAGTCACCGACACACATGAGCCACGTTCAGGGATACAGTGGCAGGGAGGGGAAAGGTGGGAGAGACATGTTGCCATTTTGGTATTATGCCTGCGGAGAGAGAGCGAGTGCTGCTTCTCATTGCCTGGTTTATTATGAGCTTGGAATGGGAAATAGAGTAGATACATGATATGAATTCAAAATGAGTTTCTTAAAAGAGAAAGAATGGTAATTTTGGTTAAAGTATCTGCAACTGTTTACATGACTTTCAAGCCTCTCAAGCAACTTTGAGAACTGTAAGGGTTTAAGGGTGCTGTCTAAATGGCTTGTTGATCATTGCTCCCAGTGCCTGGATCCAAATCTGCAGCCTCAGCCTGGTGAATCTGCTGAGTTGAGTTACATTCTCAGATTACTACTGATAGACGCCTGTGGCCATGAGGGAGCTGGGAGCTCTGCCTACAATCTAGCTTGTTGGTCCCTGGCTACCGTACTTTAAGAGAGCCATGGATACAGAAAGATCATTTAGAGAATAGTGTAGGGAAGGCTGGACAGATATAAAAAGATGTGTACTCAAGGAATAAAAATAAAAAGAATGTATTGAATAAGAGATAAAGAGATATAAAAGGCAATGTATTGAATAGTACTTGCATTTTAGGAGATGTGTTTGTGATGTAGAGAATAGACGAGTATTACCTCTTATCTCCAGTGCGTAGAACTAGAGAGAGAGAGAGAGAGAGAGAGAGAGAGAGAAGGGAATGGGGAGAGGAGAGGAAATGAGGGAACATAGGGGAGAGGAGTGGAAAGAAGAGAAGAAAAGAGAAGTGGAGGGGAGGAGGAGAAGGAAAGAGGAGAAACAGCATTGATGAAACTTTCTGTGTGTTGGATATTCCATACACATGATTATGTTTGATCATACAAAACCATGTAACTTCAAAGTAATGTTTGCAATAGAGCTTGAGTACAGCTAAACTTACTGTTGCTCAGTGATGAAATGGAAAGTCTTGCTAGGAATATGATGGAGAGAATTTTATCAACCTCTCCACTTTAAATTTAGAGTCTAAAATTTAAAATAAATGTTAGCAAATTGTCATTATGCTGGCTTATTTATAGTAGACGTCTTAATAATGTCCAAGTGATGACAGTTTTTCTGCACAGCCAAGAAAGTGAAATCATTTCTGAACATGGTGGGGGAGGGCAGTGCCGTTACAGCAATGGTGTTCCTTATTTTAAATTAGGAAAAGAGGTGAATTTTCTAAAAGACAAAACAAAACGAACAAAACAAAAAACAGCTTCTTATAAGTCTTCCTTTTTCTTACCGTGCTGCCCCTCATCTTGCTTTACTTTTTCAGCTGTGATGAAGGCTACACAGGGGCGAGGTGTGAGCGTGTTGACTTGTTTTACCTCCGACAAGACAGAAGGCAGATCCTGGTCATCTGTTTGATAGCAGTGATGGTAGTTTTCATCATTTTGGTCATTGGTGTCTGCACATGCTGTCAGTAAGTGTTCCTAACTTTGATTTGAAGTAAGATTCTTGTTCACTATTTTTCCTTTCTTTTTTGTTTCCTTTTCCCCTCTTTCCTACCTTCTCTTTCCCTTTTGCTTTGGTTTAAATAGAGCTGTTTACCATCATTTTTAAAATGTTAAATTATTTCTTTATAACACTATGTACATGTTTTTTGTTATGTTATTAAGTGGTCATGATCATGTAAAGCAAAGTTGGAGTAGCTCTTGGAGCTGAGAAGTCAGTTATTTAATCCTAAATGATATAATGTTTTTGGTATGCTAAATAAGCCTTTAGGTTTTCAAACTATACCATGACACAGCAACAGGGATAAATTAAAGCTAGCAAATGCATTTTTTCTTGGTCACATTAAAATAATGGCTTTTAGGTACAAATAATGATTATGGTTTTTTCCTGCCATGTACAAATAAGGAAGCACATCGTTTTTCCTCTCTGAGTTAGAGTGACTTGAAACTATTTTCAACGAAGGTAGTTTTTTTTGGAAGTCTATGATTTTTTTTTTATCAGCACAACCAACAAATAGTGTGCTTGGTACCTCATCGAGGTACTCTACTATTGGTTTGAGAAGCTAAGCCAGCTTCCTGAACTCTTGCATGCATGTGAAGTTTTCAGAAGATTCCTGGACAATGCATATTATGGCAAAATACCACATGCACATCTACACTGTGTGCCACACCAGTAGAAGCTGTCTCTCATGATAATTATTGCACAATGTTCTAGGGGAAAAAGACTAGCACAGAGGGAATTTCATTTTTGTCCCAGCTAAGTCATTATATCTCTTTAAGACATCAGACAAAATTTTTAAAAAGAGTTATGCATAAAAATGTATATTTGAAAAGCAGAGTTCCCGAGTGAGAAGGAGAGAAGGAGAAAGGGGGGAAAAAAAAGATCATTCATCTGCTGGTTCACTCCCCAGGTGACCACAATAGCTAGACCTGAACCTGCCCAAAGCTTGAAGACAGGAGCATCTTCTAGATTTCCCACACAGGTACAGGGGTCCAAGGAGTTTGACCATTTTTTGCAGCTTTCCCAGATCATTAGCAGGGAGCTGGATTGAAAGTGGAGCAGCTGAGTTTGAAACTAACACCCGCATGGGGTGCTGGTGATGGAGGCTTAGCACACTATGCCATGATGCCAGCCACTTAGGTGGTCTTCTTTACATCTGTGAACTTTATTTTCTGTAAAATAAGATTATTAAACGAGGTAATTTTTAGGCTTTCTTTTATCCATAAAGTGAAATATATTTTTGATTTTACATACTTTGTGGTGAAAAAAGGATATTTATATACCAGGGTTGGGGAAAAAAGTCAGTTGGGCAGGGCTGGGAAATGGCCTCTTTTTATGCAATAATGTTGTACTCCAGCTTATGGAAACTTCAAAGCAATTCAGAATATTTAGTGTATTCCTTAGTTAACGTTTCTAAAAGCTTAACTGATGTCTGCAGAGACTATCAGCATTCTTATGACTTTTTTCTGCATGCTTTAATTTGTACTATTTCTTATTTATGCATGAAGGAAATGGTAGATTATGTTCATCAGCCTCTTTTGTAAAATCTCTTGGCTTGAGAAAAAATTTTGTGTGTTAACTAAGCTCCATCAAATAACAGGCTTTATGTTCTTCCCAATGGATAACTATATATCTAAAACCATACATATTCTATCCACACTCTTGCCTGTTGTTACTATCATTTGAGCCCAGAGAAAGAGATGGGTTACAAAAAAAAAAAAATTTAAAGAAGAAAAATCTGCACTGTGGAATTGTGTGTTAAGCCACAGGCGATAGAGCTATTTTAATTCAAGTTTCTGCAGCTCCACTTCCAATTCAGTGAACTGTATATGTACCTTGGAAAGCGGTGGGGGACAACCCAAGTGTTCCGGCCCCTATTCCCACATGGAATACCTGGGAGAAGCTGCTGGCTCCTGGTTGTGACCCAGGAGCCTTCAAGGGAATGAAGCAGTGGTAGAAGATCTCTCTCTGTCTCTCTAATCTTCTTACTCTATAACTTTGAATTCCAAATAAATAAAATAAATATTTAAAAAATAAATGAAAAGATGCTGAAGAAAATGCAGCTATATGTCTTGAGCATTATAGAAACAAGATCATAGAGTCTGGATGAAACATTTTATGTTCCCACTAACTACTAGGCCCATGCTAATTTTTAACTTGGTATTTTCTAAGTCCTCTTCGGAGAAATCGTAAAAGAAGAAAGAAGGAAGAAGAAATAGCAACTCTGGGCAAGGATACAACTGCTAGGAATGAAGATATCGAAGAGACTAACATTACCTAGCAGTAAGTAGCACTGGTAGGCGAGGAACTATTCAGGTGATATTTAACTAGTAACTGGGCTTATTTGTAACATATCATTGATTGAAACTTTATTATGTTTAAAAATATTTAAAAATAGATGATTTCTTTCATTCGACTCTAAGGCCAAAGAAAAGTCTTTCTGTTATATCTTTTTTTTTTTCAAATTGTCACAGAGCTAGGCACTTAATTCTTCATGGTTGTGGATAAATTATATTCTATTCTGCCTCATTTTGAGGCATATAGAAGAAACATTTTAATTTAGAAATATTGCATTGAAAGGAAGTCATATGGAAACCTTTGGAGGTCATTATGCTTAGCCAAAAAAGCCAGACCCCAAAAGTCAAAGATAAATATGTGTGGTTTTTTTTTTGGAGGGAAAGTGTGATAACTAGCCTACAAAATACAAAGATGTAAGCAATGTGGGGAAAAATGACATTTTGAGATTTGAATATTGTTTATAGCCCTTCCATGTACTTCTGAAAACAGTGGTTTTTCTCCTTACTATTGGTTGGATTCTTTATATAGTAGAAGAGTATGCCTGTGGCCATAGAGTAAATTTAAAGTGTGACACTGCAAAAATAAAAGTAAAAAAGGGAGGAGGATAAGTAGCAGTGAGGGAGAAAACATAAGATGAAAATTATTATGTTCTTAAAGCTATATATATATATGTAAAATGTATTTCCTTATAGAAAATGTAAAAACTAAGAAATGAAAAAGGAAGGAAAGAAAGGAAATGACAATAGCAAATCCTAATCATATTTACTTTTATTGGACATTTACCATATGCCAGGTATTGTCATAAACTCTTCAAATGCTATACCAGATAGGATCCCAACAGGAATCAAAAATTCCTCTTGAATATTCCAATAAAGAACTTTGGAATGAAGAGACGGTTTCATTGAGGGTTAACAGAACCCAAAGGGGATCCTGGGGCTCCCTGGGTCAGACAGTAAGGAGCTGCTGCACCTGTATCAGGAGGTTAGAGATAACATTACCGTTGCACGGAGAGGGACAGTGAGAAGTGCCCCCTTAGGAACTCGAGTTGGGAGGGGAGTAGCCACTGCCAGACTCTAAACAAGGACAGAGAGCAGAGAGGGCAAAATTGTCCAAGCTTTCTTTATGTCTTTAGATTTTAATTAGGTTCTTCCTCCCAGATAAAGCCGAGTGGAAGCCTGAGAGCAACGGAGCCCCAGTGCTGGAATCTAGTCACTGGCTCCCTGGAGACAGAGCAGGACAGAGAAAGCTGCTGAAGGAACCAGGGCAGACTTAACACGGCCAAGCAGGACCCTTTGGGTTGTAATCATCCCAATGCAACTCAACTGGCTGAGAACTAGGGTGGTGGATTGAATGGGAATCCAGAGGTGAGGCAGGTTTTACACTTAGTTGGACTAGAAGCACTCAGGGAAGCAGATGTAAGTTTTCTCTTTGCTTCTCTTTGCTTCCTGCTCAAAACATTGCTTCAAATCTCTGCTGGTTCCTGCTAGGTAAGAGGCAAGGCCAGTAGGGAGAAGGGCCAGCAGCTTCCCCCTGCAGCAGGAAAGAGCATTAACTTGCCATGGCTCTCACAGCCATGGCCGAAGGACCTCCTATGCAGGAAAACCCTGGCTGTTTCATGGACTACGGTAACTACTTGTTTGAGAACTTGGAGTGTTCTAACTTACTTCCAGGATGATAATGAATTGAAAACAAATATGATGGTTCTGGGTATTTTTTTCTCTTGTCCTTCTAGCATTGTACATTTCCTTGAATATCATTCTTGTTTTCTCAATTCTTGCAGCTTAGGAATTTTTCTCCAATCTGAAGGCAAAGCTGCAAATGCCTTGTTCAACTGAACGTGGACAGAACATGTCTCAGGAAAACAGCCAGCAGAAAGGGATTTTAAATAATATATTAACTTTTTATTTGTAACTTTAGTTTGTGGGATTTTAAATAATATATTTACTTTTTACTTGTAATTTTAGCATGTATTATTTGTTACTGCTTTTTGATAATAAAAATAACATTATTATTGTATATTAGTTGAGAAAACACACTTGGTTAGATGGTAGCTATGATAAGGGAAATACGGAGAACCTCCACTTCAATCACCAAGATTGCTAGGCAGGCAAAGAAAAAAATTATATGAGAAACAGTATACACCTGAACATTTGAATGAAGGATGAAATGACCACTTATCAAAAATGTAGTATATGTTCAAAGTTTCAAATATATTATTTCATATAGACTATTTCACCCATTCTCTTAGTTGCTCATAAGATATATATGATGGTCTTTATTTCCCAAGTAGAAAAACAAGTCCAAAGAAGTTAAATAATCAAATCCTGTTTTAGACAGTTAGGAATTGATGGAACTGACACTGGAGTCAGGATGTTTTTCTCCAGGTTCAGATTTGGAGCTCATGATCATTTCTGTGATCCTGGGTTTGGTGCAGTTTACTCCAACCTTCCCAGATGATTTTGTACTGTATTGTGTTTTTCTCTGACTCTGAGATGACAAGGGCATTTTCTGCAGGAACGTGGGCTTGTGGGAAGCTGGCCTCTGTGCTGGTACCATCATGCTTTCTGTAGAGTTGATGTTTATAATGTTTCTTGGCTTCTTTATAAATTCTCAGTGACACGAATACATTCTTATATTTTTTCAAGCAAGCAGATTTGCTTCATAGCCAGGATGAAGAATAGAGATGGAAAAGTAAATGTCTCAGGTTTTTTAAATATACCCCAGGCCAATGTTTGTGCTCAGTAAAGTAAAAGCAATGGCCTTGGAAGATTCTATTTATGTCAGTGATGACATCAGAGAGCCCAGACAGATGCTGGTTGGAAGCGCAGCATCACTTTTGTTCTCAAAAACAGCATGTGTGTTGCTCTCTAGAGCATTTCAACTGAGGTGAAAGCATGACTGTGGGGTATGCTACTTGGGACCAGCTTTCCACATGGTCCTTCAAGTTTATGGTAATATTTAATGAAGATTGCCTTCAACATGAAGAGTGAAATCTATGAATAGCTAATAGCCCATAAAATATACAACTTGCTATACTGATCAGGAGAAATGCATATAAAAATGATGGAAATCCTCAGGCCCGGCGCGGTGGCGCAAGTGGTTAAAGGTCCTCGCCTTGCACGCCCGGGATCCCATATGGGCACCGGTTCTAATCCCGGCAGCCCCGCTTCCCTTCCAGCTCCCTGCCTGTGGCTTGGGAAAGCAGTCAAGGACAGCCCAAAAGCTTTGGGACCCTGCACCCGCGTGGGAGACCCGGAAAAGGCTCCTGGCTTCGGATCGGCATAGTATCGACCCGTTGCGCTCACTTGGGGAGTGAATCATCAGATGGAAGATCTTCCTCTCTGTCTCTCCTCTCTGTACATCCGCCTTTCCAATAACAAAATAATAAAAATAAATCTTTAAAAAAAAATGATGGAAATCCTTCCCCAAAATGGCTGTGCTGTGGTTCAGTCAGCCAAGCTGCTGTTATTCCAGAATCCTGACGACTCAGCTCTGGATTGGAAACTCCATGGTCCAAGCAAAGTGGATAAAGCTGATCTTGTGTATCAGCTCCGAGCACATGTGCTGTTTTGCATGAGGTTGGGTATGTGCTTACATACAATACAGATGTTGTTCAGCCGTCAGTAAGAGTCAAATAAATGATCATGTTTAAAACTCTATTTTCTTCCTCTTGACTTAGTGGTTATCCCTGAAACAGGATTATATATAGTGATTTGTATTGTATATGCTTTATTTTAAAAGTCTCTTTGGGGTTCATTCATCAGTCCTCTTTGATAGCGAAAGAGTTTGTCACAGATATCCATTAGAGCATTTAAAAATAGGAAACAATGCCATAAATTCCACTTTACTAGACTGATGTTGGTGGACAAATGGAATCTGTCAAGCCAGTTCAGGTTTGGGAATTTTGTTTTCATCCAAGATAGTTAATGGTTTTTCTTGAAATTCCAAAACCAAGAATGAGTTTCAAGGATTTTTGTATCTTTTCAAAGCGTATTTTATAACTGTTTTGAATGTACAAAGTGATTTTGTTTATGTAAACTGTTAATATCATCATGTAATAAAATAAATTTATTTTTAAAACAAAGTAGACTTATTTTACTTGAGATTTTTCCACTTACACTATGATTTATTAATAGAAATAAATTTGAACTTTATTGTTTTAGAAAACTTGTTTTGAAAATTTTTGAGACTTCAGAAATGTGGTAGGCACCAATAAGACTGCCCGTACCCTACACCCTTATCATATTTCTTGCTTCATTTGATTTGTTTATGGTTGGCTAAAAAAATTGGGCTAATTAGAGTCATTTCCTGACTTATTGGAAACTTCGACTCAGTGTTCTTTAGGTCCTTGGGCATAAAAATGTGCATTTTACAGGTGTATTTTGCTTCACATTCAACAGAAAAAGTTATCTTTTAGTAGAGATAACAGCTTTGGACAAATAGCAGGAACCACCTGAGAACTGAGCTTCCCCACAGTCTGTGTCTCAGTGACATGTACTCAGGTTAAGCCCCACTCTTGGTATCCCTCCATGAACTGCATGAGAATCTTTATAATAAAACCTTTCCTTTAAGTTGATTCTATTTGTGTTTTAATGAACTGAAATCAAGACTGTGAACAAGTCTGGTGTATTCTGAGATCCTGGACAACAATCTCTTAATGTAGAAACAACATCTGTTAAACAACAACAACAACAACAAAGATCATGAGACTGTTGTTTTCTGGTAATCTTTCCATGTATTACAGGAACATTTCTAGCCACAATCTCCCTTTGTCACCACGCCAGGGAGCATGGGTGGGTCAGGGAATTCAGCAAGTACTTAGTGGACACTCCAGTGTTCCAGGTTCTGTGAACCCAGTGTGACAAATGCTAAGGAGGAATATGATTTGGTTTCTCAGGAAACTTGGAGTTTTGGTGAGAAATTATCAACTCAGCGACAATTTCAGTACAATGTTGTGCCAGTATATTCAATTTTATGTCTACT